CCCCCCCCCCCACACACACACACACCCGAGACTCACTGTTACAAGAAATGCTCACATTACTGGAAGAGTGGGTAATTTTTGTAATGCACGTCGCTTAAAATAAACCGAGTGAATGAAGTTCTTTAAAACTAAAAATAGACATTTTCTTTCTTGGTCAGCGTTATAATTAAGCCGACGTGTGTCGAGTCTAGGTAAGAGATCTATTTTACAACTTAAAAAATAAAAATACAGACACCGGAAATCTTAACTCACTAATATTTTTTGCCTAAATTAAATGATTGCAACATACTGTGACAAAAGAGCAGTCTTTAAGAATTACTGACACGGGAACAAACTTTTCCAGAACCACCACGGGTCTCTTTCAATTTCAAATAAACGTTTGGTCATTGGCCCTCATAGCAACTCGGCTTTAACATCAATTTTCAAATCGAGTGTCATTCACCCGTCCAGGTCATGCTCCAGTTAGCTCGCATGTATGAGTTAAATTTGGGACAAGTTAAAGAAGTTTCAGCCAACTRTAGTGAAGCTTTTATATTCTGTCCTTTTTTTTATTGGACTCATTATGTTGCTTTACTTGATGTAAGAACATTTCCTCTGTAATTTCTATGCAGGTGGTGACATTATGGTACCGACCTCCAGATGTGCTTTTCGGTGCTAAACTGTATTCTACCTCTATTGACATGTGGTCAGCTGGATGCATATTTGCAGGTTTGCCACAAATTAAGTTGCAACGTCTTTGAGGGTTTGTTGTGTGTAAATGGAGTTAAAGAGATTAAAAGAATCATATTTCACCTGCGTAAGTATAGGTTACTTTGAAAAACTGCAGTAATTAATTACTGAAAACAAGACAGCTCATCCTTGTGTGCAATACTAAATACTTCTGAGTGCAGAAGCAGACAGCAAGTAATAAAATAAATGACTTCCATAACTGAGATCTTCTAGTTAACAGTAACCAGGTGCCAATAAAACTTCAGTATCAGTTGTTTTTATCAGCTGAGCTGCCGTTCAGGAAGAGTTCAGTGAGTCTCAGAGAAAACTTTTAGAGTGAAGTCAGTGACACACTGAGCACTTTAAATTATGCTAACTTATGCTTCCTCACATCCTCTTTTCTCTTGTGAATCAGAAATCGTTTCCCCCTCCATCATCGAGGAAAAGGAAATCTCCTCTTCTAATCACCTTAAATGCTCCACGAGGAGAGAAGAGGCTTATGTAGAAGCTTAAGAGCGAGTGTTCAAAGGTGTAACCTTCCTCACACCTGTCTGTCACATTTTTTATTTCTTAATTTTTTTTTTTTTTTTTTTGCTGAAAAGAAAAATTGATTAGGGATGTCCAAATCAAATCTCAAGTAATCAGAATGGAGTTTTAATCAAGGTATGATTAAAATATGCCCTTGAGTCAGTGGGGGGACGGTCCAACAGAGGGAGGCAGCACCACACCGACACGTCTCATTATTATAACAGGAGAAAAGGTGTGTTCGACAGTTTTGATTTTAACGTTTTAAACTGAGAAAGGACCAAGAATGGCCAAATAACAGTTTAAAATAATACGCCAATGTTTATTRTATAATCCTAGGGAATAATAGAGGTTAAAAGATGGTCTCTTTGTTTTGACTTTAGTTGCCAAATCATCACCAAACCGATATTTCCTGTTCACTTAGTAGCATTGTCCTTTWAAAAAATCCCCTTAGTCTTAATTTCCACAAATGCAAGAATTGCATAATGAGTCTTGTGTTCATCCAACATCTGAATTTGGCATACCCTCCTGTGGCATTTTAAGAGTTTGCAAAAGGAGATTTAATAGGGAAATAAACAGCAAAGCAGAGGTTCATTTGGATTTTAGGGCTGARTTTGTCCCAGTAAAGGGCTATTCTTTTGCCAGCTGGGGGCAGTGCTTATTCCCATTTAGATGTCATAAAGGGCTGGGGACCGAGATGGCTTAAAAACCTCAGTTTCTGACCAGCAGAGTTGGGGGAAAAAACATGCCCCTCTTGTTCCTRCACACACTGAAGGCACATCTATGTTTTAAAAACGATAAAGCTAAAGATGGRAAAAAACAAAGCTAAAGATGACCACATATTTTTCAGTTTTAATGTTATCAGTTTGTTTTACTTTTTTTTTTTCTCTCCCCCAGAGCTAGCTAATGCTGGGCGGCCTTTATTTCCTGGCAACGATGTGGATGACCAGTTAAAAAGAATCTTCAGATATCCTTTAATGACTGAAACTGTTCATGTATGGATGTGAAGAAGCCACTTGTTTTGTAATTTGTGTAGAAGTGCTGTAAATGTGGCCTTTAACCACTGCGTACGTTGTTGGGTACTCCGACTGAGGAACAGTGGCCGACAATGACGAAGCTTCCCGATTATAAGGTACAGTTATTGATATACACCTGAAAGTATATTTTGTACAATAATTAAGAGTGCTGAAATACTTTTTGTTTTTTCTTATCTAGCCATATCCCATGTATCCAGCCACTACATCTCTTGTAAATGTGGTTCCCAAACTAAGTAGCACAGGACGAGATTTACTGCAGGTACTGTTTCTTATTTTAAGTTTTGTTGGCAATTTAGCTAACAAACTAGTCACTTAAAGATGTAGGGAATTGATATAAGCTTGTTGTTTACCAATTTTACTTGCATGAATTGCTATTCTTTGTGTATTCATTATTTCTTTTTCTCCTGATCTGATCCAGAACCTGTTGAAATGTAATCCTGTCCAGAGGATTTCAGCAGAAGAGGCCTTGCAGCACCCTTACTTTGCTGACTTTTGCCCACCCTAAATGCTAAATTGCCTCTCACTGAGCCGCAGCCACACGAATCAATCATCCTTCACTCTTGTTTGGTCATTAGGACCGATTCTCAACAAGGCAAATCCCTGGCTGCGATCCAAGCAGTCCCCTGCAGTTCATTTTGTCGTGCCTCTGAGTGGAACAAAGCCCCAGTGGCCCTGCTACGTTTAAGGTTCTTTTAAGTTGAAAGCCTGTGTAATTTAGTTCAAACATGCCTCTCAGTGAATTAGCACCAACACGGGAGGATCTTAGTTTGAATAAATTTTATATTCATAGATATTTTTTTGTTATTTGTTTTTTTTTTTTAAATGGTACAACTGACACGGAGTCGACTAAGTTTAAACTGGGATTTGCTCTCACAATCTGTGGTCCTTTTATAATTTGGTGAATTAATGTCCGATGCCTGAGAATCAAAGTGCTTGTATATAGTGCATCACTTAATCACACAGCCTTTGTAAAGATTTAGTTCCAGAACTAATGTTTCCAAAATAGTTCAGCATTTTTCTCTTAATATACAACTTGACATTTGTAGAGACAAGTACAGGTGATTATTTATTTTTTATTCCCTCGTCCCATATTTATAATTACAGGAATGGGGAGCTTGTAAACTGTTGTGACTGATGTTTGGACTATTGGGCACTAGATTTAAGTAATCATATGAGCCCTTTTCACACAGATATGATCTTCTTAGTGTTTACAAAAAATAAAAACAATGCACACGGCCCTCTGCTTCACACATGCTCACTAGTTTGATCCTGTGACTACCTTTGTTTAGTTAGACCATCTCCCTTTTATTCACCTTCTGTAACTTTTACACCGTTAAGCAACAAAACCTAATAGGTTCCCACTTGGAAGGAACTGTGTGAAAAGGGCTGTATATACACTAATCAGCCATAACATTATAACCACGTAGCAAAGGGAAAGAAACAAAATGCAGGCTCTTTTTCCTCCCAACTTTGCCCAATGACAAAATTTTCAGGGTCTTATGTGGCTCAGTTGAAGACCCCACTCATCATCCTTAACGCACCTAATGTTTATAAAAACACGTATTAGTGCAGACGTGGCAGTAAAAACACGCTGCACACAGTATGGAGTGTAAATAAGGTTCAGAAATGTGCTGTGTAAGCGTGGACCGTTTGGATCATGAGCTTTTCAATTCACACCTTAGTGGTCATAACTGTACAGCTGATTTGTGTTTTTTTTTTACGGACTTTGCATTTCTATATCGCTGTTTATTTATTAGTGAGGAAAAATACCCTTTCACTAAAAGCTGTGATAAGTTTCTTTTTGGCTCTGCCTGGGCCGCCTGTCACACTGTTTTAGTGTTGCACTAATTTCTCTGCCTGTCTCACTTAAGATTCCCACATTTTACACACAGATTCAGATGTTTTTGCCCATTAGATGATTGTATATTATTACAAGAAGCGCTTTTTTTCCTCTCAGGCTTTGAAATTAAGTTTCATCTTTGTCTTACGTGCACTATGTCATCATTACAGATTAATATTATTACACTTGTTGAACTGATATTCAAAACTAATTAGTCAACAAGACAGACCAATATTTACACATTGACCGTTTTTTATGTCTTTTATGCTGCATTACTTTTTGTAATAGTTAGAAATGCAAAAAAGTATATTTTTTCCACATTTCCATATGATTGTTTGCACCATTAGCTGTTTCCAGTTAGCTCATTTTAACATGGTTTTAACAATGCTACTAATGCTATATGCAGCCAACATGAGTGATGTATGAAGCAGCTGTTTAAAGTTGTTTTTATTTTTCTCATTTAACTGTAAGACAAGGTAATGGATGCATGTATTTATTAAGAATGGACTGTTTGGTTTTTATTATAAAATGTGTAACTTTTGTTTATACAAAAACTTAGATACTTCCAACTGTTGCTTTTAATGTTTGAAGGATGTATTTGCTTTATCCTTTAAAGGCAAAAAAAAAAAAAAAACCTTTTCTTTTACTATTTCGTAGTGTTCTGTTACAGCAAACGCAACGGGACCGTTTTTCTTTCCCACAGCTTTTTAAAACCTAATTTAACTGAAGGGTTTGCTTTTTGCACTTTGGTTTCTGTCTTTGCTTTTTGCTGGTAGAACTGGGGAAAAATGTTGACTGTATGTTTAAGCCAGTAAAGATTCAGTATTCAGTAAAGTCTATATGAATATGTTTTAATGCTGATGTGAAATCATTTGCAACTTTTTCAATGCTGTGTACAGAACAGTGATGTTTAACACCTAGTTTTAAAAAAGGCATTGAAAACAATTGTTTCCAATCTACCATTAGCAAAAAAAGAAATGATCACTTAATAATGGTGAGGGTTATTTCTTAAGGCAAAATACATCTATTTTCAATTTTTTTCAGTTATGACATTCTCAAGTTTGAAGTTTTATTTCAGGCTCAGTTTTCAGTTCACAAAGTCAACCAAATCCCCGACTTTGATTTACGAATGACTGCGGTTGAGTGTGTAATAACTATTTAATGTACAGTTCAATTTAAAATCACATATCTACAATAAAATGCACAGCATGTTGAGCCAGATGAAGCAACTCCAGTTCTCCAGATGTGTTGTTGGGGGCGAGGCGGGGCGGAGAATCCTGATGTTACCTGTAAGAATCAACCTTAAAGGCACAGTTTAGTTTCACTTTAAGCTGCACTGTATTTTCAACAACTCGTGCTAAAAATGCCAGAAAGACATTCGCTTCATAGGGATCTTATAGGGCGTTATTTTGGAAGAGGAGAAAACCTTTGATTCATCTGACTCCAGAAGTTGAACATTACAAAGTGAATAGCATAGCTATCATTACATCGTTATAGCTCAGGTAATAGGAATACATTATGATCATGCAAGGTGGCAAATGAGTGAGGTGCCGTACAGCACAACATGGTTTAAATGATTTAAGTGGTTGTAATGAACAAAATATCTATTTCTACTTGGCCATAGCTATGCAGTAAATATCTGTGATTTTTTTCTGCCAGCTCAGGTACACTCTGCTGTTCTTTTGTTTTCTTGTAAGGCAGGGGCCGGGGACAAAGAGGTAAACACCTAGGACAAACTCATCAAGCCCACATTCATTATCCACAGTTTGTGGGGAATCCTGGGTCATTTAGTTTTCTGCTTTTCCACCCGACAGCTTGACGCACAATCAAAAGTCATTTCTTCAATGCAGCAGCATCATCAGAGCAGCATCATAGTGTAACATGAAATGGCACCACTGTGTCTGACGTGGATGGTGATGGCTTTTTATACAATGGTCACATCGGTGTTGCCATTGGTAGTTCAGTCTACGTCCATTGTTTGTAATCGATAACCCCATGTCATTTTTAATTTTTTTTTATAACAACAGTATCTGATTCAGTGCATTTATTGCTCATGACACAACACCACACATAGATCCTTTTTGTTTCCTGAAATCTTCCTCTGGCTCAGCTATTATTCCTGCTGTTGTAGCTGTGGGCACATTATGTTTAACAGTGTGTAGTTGGCAATTAGAGCCACAAAAAAATAAAAAAAATAAAAAAAAGGCAGTCACAACCATAGCCTTCTGGTCATTGGCTTTCAGGTGATGGCTGATCTCCAAGGGTTTTGTGCTTCACATCAACAGTCATCTAATACACAGACAACAGAGTAATAAAGCTACAGTGTTATGAACAGCACTTCATTAACTGGGTTATACCAAAAAGCTTCACATAAAAAAGAAAAAAAAATCTTCAATTTCAGACTTTTTAGTAAATAGTACCCACGAGGACGTAAATAACAGTTTACCAAGAGAGGAAGTCGACCGACACGAGGATAAGAAAAAGTTTTATACTTAAGAATGATGGGTAAATATAGTTTATTATACTTGATCTTTTATACATCACAAAGTGCTATTTGTGACTTATTACATATGGTGGAATAATTATGATGGCTGTATACAGTGGTCAAATTTTACATTCCAGTTTTCATAAAAATCAACTAAAGTGATCTGGGCTGAGGTTCGGATGTTTTGAGGCAAATTCTCTTACAGCTTAAGAGTTTTTTTTTCAGCTCTCACTCTTCCATCCAGATAAAATAAATAATAATAAATAAATAAAAAAACCATTCAAATTTCTTTTTTAAATGAATGAATACATTTTCTATCTATCTATTCATTTTTCTGTATATAAATATTTGTATTTATATTATGTTTCACATGAGTATTGTGTAACTTATTTTTAATGGCATCTGATTGCATGTATTTACACATTACTGTGAAGTTTAGGAATGTCGCCAGCCTTCTAAAACTCTTAGAGAATAGATATTATCACAGGGGATTGTGCTGATGAGTGGCTTTAAGACATCTTGATGCAAAAATGAAAGGATAAGAAGGTCAACAAGTGACAAATCAAATAAATGTTGTGATTAAATATCTGCTTGTTCAGTTATGACTTTAGCTGATATGAAAACAAAGTGCCATCCTCCACCTCCCAGGAGGCTCTCTGTTATCACCAGAATATGTTATTTGGAAATACAAAAGCAAGTTGGAAGACTTAACGTAGAAAAAACTAAACATTGGTTCCGGATTATAAATTTGGTTTTTTATTTGTGTTGAATTTTTATTTACACTTTTATTTTTTTTTTTATCCCTTTGTATAATCTCGTCTGTATTCAGGAACTTTTTTTATTTTCTTTTGACTTGGATCTTTATCCAGTGGTCATTTTTCTCCACACTAGTCAGCCTATTATAAGTTTTTTATTTATTTATTTTGTTTCAGTCATTATTTTAAAGTATTCATTACAGCACAATAATCATTTTGTAAATGATGGTTTATTATGGAGTATACTGCAGGCAGAGGTGTTTAGTGAGGATCTGTAATTTTAACAAGTAATTTTTTTAATCCTAACTTTTACTTTTATTTTGTTACACTCAAAACATGAAAATTATGCTTTTACTTCTTTACTTTAAAACTGAACACCTTGTTACATATTTAAACATGACTGGAACTCATCACGAAAGGAGTTCTTTATGCGTTCTAATAAATGAGTTGTTAAATTTATTTATTTACTTTAAATGTAAAGCAGTTTACTCAACTTAGTTTAGTGGAACCAGTTGACATAACTTGGTTAAATAAATTCATCACTTCATTTACGTGTGTACAATTACTTTTATTTCCTGATTATTGTTAGCAATTTTATGACTATTAAGTACTTTTCTCATCCGTGAAATTAATTTTTACTAATTTCATTTACTTAGTTATTTTTTTCAAGTACTTAATCCACTAGAGTAGGATTTTGAGACTGAAGGGTTGCAACTGTGTGATTTAGTATGCTAAAAAGACAGCTAATTTGTTTGTAAATGCATGAAGAGGGAATGATTTATAATTGACTCGCACGTGAACAGAATGAATCCAGATTTAAAACTGATTATGTTGTAAAACTGATAAACACGTCTTTGATGCTCAAGATTGTCTAGGTGTGTTTTCAGCTGCAGCGTGTTCGTAACAGAGTTGCTTTCTTTTGTTGTACTTCCTGTGTTCAGGTTAGGGTTAAGGAAAATAATTGTGAATGGATACAGAGACATGTTGAAGGTTTAAATGAAACCCCACGATGACAACAGCAGACGTTTTACTTGTGCTTTGTGACACAAGATCAGAAAGTGATCTCGAGTTGCCTTTTGTTCGTCAGCGATCAGAATGAGTAACGACTCCTGCATGAGCCTCGCTGGAGGTGGAGAGGGGCACCTTCAAGACAAAATGCTTAAAATAATTACAGGACAACATCCCTAAAAATCGAAGTTTTTTTTTTTTCAATTAAAAAGTCAGCTATATAAAGATACAATCATTTGCCCTTTTCCCCACCTGGCATTATTTCATTATCGAGCCGTTTATAAAAAAGGAAAAACCGTCTCCTGCCAGTATGAGTCATCCCAGAACTGACGTGAAACACGATGTAGTGATTGCATATGTACAAATTCCTGCTCTTTTGAAAGTAAGCACAGTTGTCTAATTAATGAGACGATTCACGGTCTCTTTGTAGGAAAAAGGCAACATTAAACACTAGTGTTTTGATTCAGGTCTGAGAAGCTCTTTCAACCAACAATCAGCTCTTAAAGTAGAACAGAACTATTGACGGGTGATTTATGTGTATATATGATGTAATCGATAAGTTACTGTAGATGCTGGCAACATAATATTAATGACTGCATTAAATAGAACCTAATTATTATTATTGTATTTTTTAAGGATGAACAGCAATAGTGCTATTACAAAAATGGTTCAGATGCCTGTTTGGACACATTTATCTGATTGCTTGCTTTAAAATTACTACATGACAAAACCAAACAGAAAAACAAAACAATCCTATAAGATGTGATGGAACAAATCAAATCAGCACTGATGCCCTTAAACATGGCAGTTAAACCTGAGTTCTGTTTTACAACTGGTCTCTCTCTCTCTCTCTCTCTCTCTCTCTCTCTCTCTCTCTCTCTCTCTCTCTC